TTTACAATTTTGATTGGCTAAACCAATATGCATGATCGGGATCATCATTTCCTTATTTGGGACGGTCCCTCCTGTTCCTTTACTATGATACCCCTTGAAAAAGACCCGACTCGGGCATTATTCTAAAAAGATATTTACGTACTTGAAATTCTTATTAAACTAATATTAGAAATATTAAAAACCCGCCGCTATGTAAAGTATTCATGAGACTTGACGATTTTCTTAATAATATTCCGCCTACTATAGTCAATAACAGGTAATACAGTACCTTACGGACCTTACGGGATGTACTTACGGTACGTACGTATATAGCAATTAATAATGATAGTTATTATTAATTATATATTTACATTATATTGCACTATTGTAACGTTACTCAATATCGTGATAATGTGGTTAATTGACAAATGACGAAAGTGATGACAAAAATGATCTTTTGATTAACAAACGCCAATTACCTCTATTATAAAAAGACCATACTTTCGTTTCTCTGAGAAAAAAAAATATATATTAAAAATATATATTTTTTTTTTCTCTCTATCCTTGGCTACAAGTTTGGTTTATGTACGATATTTGTTGATAAATTTATTGGCACAAGTCATGTTATCATAACAATTTTGTTATATAACAGCCAGTCTGATAGCTAGCCTGTCCTATCGATATCGCGCTATTCTTTCTTTCATTGGCCTTGAAAATAAAACGTAATTTCTCTATTTTTTTTTTTTGTTTACATCTTTGTCAATGATCACGTGACAACCTTTTATATCTTTGCATATAGAAAATGGCAAAAGAGCAAAGCAGTATAATTACAGGCCATAGGCCTACTGATTTCAACCAAGAAGACCCTTTAACGCTCGTAATAATACAGGTAACTTATTATTCTTGCTTTGTTAAACTATCTAATCTATGCTAAACTATTTTAAATTTTATTAAATTGTGCTAAATTATGCTAAACTTTTTTTTAAATGCTTCCTTTTCCGTTTCGTGTAACAGATCGTCCTCATAGTGATTTTCACTCGTGTTCTCAACATCGCACTCTCGCGTTTTCGCCAACCTCGCGTCATATCTGAAGTTATAGGCGGTATTGTTCTAGGTCCTTCGGTCATGGGTCGCATCCCTGGATTCATGGATACTATATTTCCTCTTCAATCTTTAACTTACCTTAATTTACTTGCCAATTTGGGTTTGATCCTCTTTTTATTTATTGTTGGAGTTGAATTAAATCCTATAATGTTACTCGAGAACGCGAAAACTGCTGTTACTATTTCTGCCGCTGGCATCATTTTACCCTTCTCTCTTGGTATTGGTGTTAGCTACGGATTATATCATGCTATGAACTCTGCTGAATATAACGTACCTTTTTCAAGTTTCATGCTTTTTATATGTGTCGCTATGTCAATTACGGTACGCTTAAAGTTTCTCTTTTTGCCCCGTGCATCCGCTTTCAAAGATTAATCTTTTGATTTTCAGGCATTTCCCGTACTTGCCCGTATCTTGTCTGAGCTTAAACTTCTTAGGACGCCGGTGTACTGATCATTCGATTCATAAATTAAATTACATTAAATTTATCATGTCATTTTTATTCTAACCTTATTTTTTTTTTTGTTTTTTTTTTCTAACATCATAAAGTGGAGTCACTGCTCTTACTTCCGCTGTTGGTGATGACATTGCGGCTTGGGTACTTCTTGCCTTAGTAGTTTCAATCATAAATGCTACAAATTTCCTTTCTGCTCTTTACACTTTCTTGCTTTGCGCCGCTTGGACTTTGGTTGTTGGATTCATCGTTCGTCCAATCTTAATGATGCTTATTGTCAAGACTGGCAGGTCTGAGTTTATTCTAAAGTGTTTTTTTTTTTCCTTCATCTGTTTTCTTTTTTATTAAAATTCTTTTAATAATTTAGTAATGACTTTGGTGGTCCATCGGTAACAATGGTGGCGATTACGTTAATGCTCGTTTTAATATCCGCCTTTGTTACAAATATCATTGGAGTGCACTATATTTTCGTATGATCTACATTTAAAATTTCTTTTCGTGTACTCTTGTGATCGTTGTTAAAGTTTAAATTATAAAATAGGGTGCTTTTATTATTGGCGTGATTGTACCACATGAGAGCGGTTTCGCGATAGGCATTACTGAAAAAATTGAAGATCTGGTTAGCGTCTTGTTTTTACCAATTGTACGTGTTTTTTTTTTTTTTTTATAAAGTTTATTTAATTTATTTCATTTATTTAATTTATTTAATTTATTTCATTTATTTAATTTATTTCATTTATTCAATTTATTTAATTTATTTCATTTATTTAATTTATTTAATGTAGTATTTTGCTCTTTCCGGTCTTAAAACTCAACTCGGTTTATTGAGTGATATTTATATATGGGGCTGGCTTCTTTTGGTGATTTGTGCCGATATGTTTGGTAAAATTACTGGTGCCACTCTCGCATCTAGATTAAACAAACTCACCTGGAGAGAATCTCTTACTATCGGTGTTTTCATGAGTTGTAAAGGGTTATTTTCTTTTCAAATTATTTTTTTTATACCTTTGATAACTCATGTTTGTTCGCTTTATTTATAAAAATTACACCACTTTCATTTTTTTTAAAGTTTGGTTGAGTTGATCGTACTTAACATTGGCTTTGATGCCGGTGTGATTAACAGCAAAGTTTTTGCTATTATGGTGACTGTGTATGTATACAAATCCTATATATCTATATATATATATAATATATATGTTGTACGTCAATTATTTTAACTATTTTAACCTGAAGCAATTATTAATTTTGACGTACAACATGTATATTATTCCTACGTATAACTTTACTACACATTATTACTATAATATTAAATTTAATTTTTCTTTTATATATAGTGCCCTTATAATCACATTTACTACGACTCCTCTGGCGATGTGGCTTTATCCAAGAGAATATAGAAAAGCATTAGAACGTTCACGAGCTGGTCAGGTCACAACTTCGATTGAAGGTGGTACTTGGAAAGAATCTCGTGCTTCCGACGATACGTTGATCGATCTATCAAGAAATAAACGTTTATTTGTTGTATTAAATAAGATTGAATGGTTACCGGGCATGATGATGTTATTACAATTATTACAACCTCTTCCTTATTCTAAACCTCCTCTAAGGACTAGTGAAGTTACTCCTGATAGATCAACTTCAAATAATAATAATAATGAACCTCTTACCGTTCATGCCTTACGTCTCGTCGAACTTACTCAACGTATTTCTACTGTGATGAAATTTAATGAAACTGAGGAAACTTTATTACATGATCCAATCATGAACGTTTTTCGAATGTTTGGTCAATTAAACTTTGTTAATATTAAGGCTAATCTTATTATTGTTGCTTTTCATGATTTTGTCAAAGAAATTGTTGAAAATGCTAGAAAAACTAATTCGGATCTTGTTATAATCCCATGGGATGGTGCTGGTGCTGTAATGAATGACTCGGATTCTTTTGATGAAATAATTGGTCCTCGTGGAAGGATACTTAAAGCTCGTGAAAGGAAAGAAACTAGTCCTCAAATTTCAAGTTTTGTACAAGGTGTATTTAACGAACTTCATACCAATGTTGGCTCTTTCGTTGACAGAGGTTTTGGTGTTAAATCAACTCAACATGGTGGCTCTCAAGATTTATCGATTCATGTATTTCTACCTTTTTTTGGTAGTATAGATGATAGAGAAGCTTTGATATTCGTTGTTAAATTATTAGAACATCCTTATGTCACTGTATCGGTAGTTCGAATAAGAACAGAAAGTAATTCCATTGATGCTCAAGAAAGAAATATTTCTACTAGTTCTCATATTGATAGTGATAATGAGATTATAAATACTGATGATAGAGCTCCTAGACGACCTCCTATGGTACATACTAAATCAGATTCTTCTATTCAAGTATTAACTCAAGGTGATAAAAAAGAACCTGAAACCATTGATAGTTCCTTATTAGCACATTATTTTAGTCTGAAGAATGGTATATTAACTAGTAACGATCGTATAAGTTATACTGAAGTTGTATCAAGGACTCCGTTAGCAACAGCTATTGGGCTTGCAAAAGAAAAGGTTGATAATGGTAACAATTTAGTTGTAGTGGGTCGTCGTAGAACAGCACCACAAGTATATCGAACGGAATTCTTAAATATGGGTAAAAGTTATGGAAGCGAAACTCGTAAATGTTTGGGTATTGTTGCTGAAGCATTTATGGTTAGTGAAGTAGAAGCAAGTATTCTTGTTTTACAAGGAAAAAATGATGTGAGAAGAACTATATAATTTGTTGGGATTTACGTATTACGTATCATGGATTAGGTTTAAAAATTTCTTTTTTAAAAAAGTTTAGCAGATGAAAAGTTGGTTTCGAACTTTAATCAAATATTTTAAATTTGTAAAGAGTTTTAGTATTAAACGCAAATACTGTAGTATTTTTATTTTTATTTTTTTTTTTAATTTTTACATACAATTTTGGTTGTTAAATATTATATAGCGATAGCATTTATTTTTTAATTTGTAAATTTAACAAATTGGGCAAGTTTATTTGCTTATTTACTTTTTAAAAAAAAAAGTTAGTAAAAAAAATTAGGTTAAAT